TCGGCCCCGCCCAGGCCTGACCCACCCTGGTCCCAGTGCAGTGTTTTCCAATGAAAATGTAACATATGTATATTAGTATTTGTAATGATAAACGTCACAAAATAATTATTAGGTCTTGATTGATAAGTGAGGCACGGACTTTAAACAGAATTGAAAAAAACAGCCTCAGTGTCTAATATGGACTACACTGGCCCTGGAAAAACAAGAATTGAGAACAAGAAGGAAAAGCCTTCGGAAGGTGCAGACCTTGGTTCCTGTGAGTGGGACTACTCGGAAGCCGCAGGTAGGGAAGTTAAATTGGAATGAAAGCCAACAGCATTCCAAGAAAGGGTTTTACAGCTCTATGTGTTCGTTCAACCCAGTGATGGGACAGAAACTGACAGGCTGCGTTTGGCCAATGGATACGATGAACACCTTGCAGACCGGTGAAGAAAACACACACTTCTTTGAAGTTCATAAGTTTTCAGTTGTTTTTGTAACGAATTGCATTTGTAAATTTTACCTCTGTTTCATTCTTTACACATAACACGTTTTATTTCCACGCGGTAGAGGATCTTTTCATGGACCTTAGAAGGGAGGTGAACTCAATTGTGCAATGTAACAAATCATTGTCTCATTCCCTCTGTTTTAAAGTAGAAATGGAGAGGAAAATGAAACATTAAAAGTGGCAGCTATGTGGCAGATCCTAAAAGAACTATGGCAACATCAGGTGACTGCCCCGGAAGTGAATCTCAGGTAATTTCAGTTCTGGTCTGTAAGAACCTGTACTTAAACACTGGGAACATTACAGAGAGCTGAGATCAGCCAGGAGTGATAGCGCTTTCCTTGGATTTAGGAAGTGGCCACCAACTATGGTGCGCTTACATGCAGGAAATGCAGTGTCTGTAAGGGGTACAGTTGACATTCTGAATTGGGCACTGTAAACATTTCCCACGAACCTAGGGTTCCATTTTTGGTACCGTGCTGGTAAAGCAAGCACATTTTTTTAGTTGTTAATAAAGTCTCAGGCATAGTATGTTAAAACAGGTCAGCTACATTAGAAAAGATTTGTGTACTCATACTGCTTTTTGCCTGGGGCACACATAGTTTCATTCAAGTTAGCAGTAAAAAAGTCACCTTAAATTTCAAGGAATATTGATTATGCAAAATTAAACACCAAATGAATTCTCTAATAAATAATGTTTATAAAGAAATTAATTTCAGGTTTGTGATGTCAAGTTTAACATTTTCTCCCTTGCATTCTAATGGTTGTTGTAATTTCATTAAGGTTAAAAAAAAGATTTTTATTGATTTTGAGAGAGAGAGAGAGAGAAGGAAGGAGGAAAGACAGAGAGAGAGAGAGAGAGGAAGAAACATCGGTTTGTTGTTCCACCTCTTTATGCATTCATGGTTGCTTATATGTTCCCTTACTGGGGATGGAATCTACAACCTTGGTGTATCAGGATGACAGTCTAACCAACTGAGCTGCCTGGTCAGGGCTTGGGTTTTTACATATAGGAATTTTATTTATACTTGGGTCATTTTATTTCTTAAAAGTAATAATAAAATATTTCAAAAATATTTTTATTGATTTCAGAGAGAGGAAGGTAGAGGGAGAGAGAGATAGAAACATCAATGATAAGAGAGACTCATTGATTAGATGCCTTCTGCACATCCCCTTCTGGGGATCGAGCCTGCAACCCTGACATGTGCCCTGGCAGAGAATTGAACCGGGACCTCCTGGTTCATGGATCCACACTCAACCACCGAGCCACACCGGCAGGCAATCATAAAATGTTTTAATTCCTTGTTGTCTCATTTTTCTTTTGAGAAATATAGAAAAATATTTGAGCATTTATAGAATAAGATTGCAAACATCAAGTACATATTGCTCAGAAGTGAAAATTTGTTAACGTTCTGTCATGTTTGCTTTAGAATACACACACACATACAGCACATAAAAGAAACCACAGATGAAGTTTGTTTCCCAACCTCAGGCCCAATCTTCCTTTGCCTTCAGAGTAGAAATGGAGAACTACTAAGAATTATGATTTGAATATTGTGCTTCTGCACCAGCTTTATACTTTTTATAACTTATCTTGGCATCTCTAGAATTTACCTAAATGGTGACATAGTCTGTGTGTCACCTTGCAGCTTGCTTTCCCCACTAATGTTACTTTGGGGGATTTGTTCTTAATGTGTGTATAGAAGTAGTTCAGTCTTTTAGGATGCTCCTGTAGTGTGTTCCTTATAAGAATGTATCACATTCATAAATATGTATATAGGTCTGTGTGTATTAGGTATGTGTGAATCCACGTCCTGCATGGTTCAAGGTTTGGGATCTGGAGAAGGGCCATGCGCAGATGACAGAGACGAGACAAGAAATAATAATTTGGAAATACTGGGGGGCCAGGTGGGAAGCCCAATGCAAGGGAAAGACTTCCCTTGTGCTCAGGCCTTGCCATCCTTTTATTCAGTGTGGGCTACACCTACAGCCCTTAGGCAGGCAATTTCCAGTAACAGACAGACTATCTTATCAGTAGGGATTTACATGACTATCTGGTCAGGAAGTTGCTTCAGTTACCATTGTCTCGACTGTGACTAAGCTGTCCGTGCATAGCTCTGACCTTTGCCAGGGCCCAAGGTTCACCAGTGTTCTGGGCTCCTAGTCCACATCTCTCTGCTAGTGAAGATAATGGGTGGCTTCCCACAGGTATGCATCCTATTTTATTTATTTCCCTTTTGTTAGACACTTGTTTTTCCAGTTCTTTTCTATTTCAAAAAGTGTTGCAGTGAACATCCTTCTACCTGTCTCCTTGTGCACATGTGCTCTAATAATGGCATTGCAGGATGGAAGGGATTGCATGTTTTCAGTTTTACTAGGTAATGATCAGTGGTCTGCCAGTAGACCACAGTGCGTGCTAACACTTGAGAGCATCAGACTTTTAAATTTTGGTCAGTCTGATGGGTTAGAAATGGTATCTTGTTATTTTAGTTTTCTGATTACTTGTGAGTCATGATTTGACTTACTGAAATATTGTCATTTAAGATAACATTGAAATTTATTTCAGTAATATTCATCCTAGTAATATAATAGCACCCTCCATTACAGAACAGATGCCTAATATACACAATTTGTGTTTTATCTCTTTTTTTTTTGCTTGATCAATCTTTTTAGGGTTTTATCAATTTTATCTTTTCGAAGAACCAGCTTGTGTTTGTTGACTTTCTCTTTGTTCATCTGTTCATTGATTTTAGCTTTTTATTTCCTTTAGTCTATTCTACTTGAGTTTAATTTTCTCTTTTTATAACATCTTGAGATGGAAACTAGGATCACTGATTTTAAACCTTTCTTCTTTAATGTATGTTTTAAAGCTATAACTTTTTTTAAAAAATATATTTTATTGATTTTTTACAGAGAGGAAGGGAGAGAGATAGAGAGCCAGAAACATCGATGAGAGAGATACATCGATCAGTTGCCTCCTGCATGAGCAGCTGCCTCTTGCACGCCTCCTACTGGGGATGTGCCTGCACCCAAGGTACATGCCCTTGGCCGGAATCGAACCTGGGACCTTTCAGTCCGCAGGCCTATGCTCTATCCACTGAGCCAAACCGGTTTCGGCAAAGCTATAACTTTTAATCTCTACTTTAGCTGCCCCTCACTCATTTAAATATGTTGTATTCCCATTATTGTTCCGTTAAAATACTTTCTAACATATCACAATGGAAATTAGAAAATTGCTGGGCATTTCTAGTAAAATACTGTTTTATTTCCAAACACTTATGAAGTTTTATTTATCTTTTATTTAATTTTGGTTTGATTATATGTTGTCAGAAAATATAACATACTTTGTAAATTTCCATTGTTTTGAAATTTATTCACGCCTGCTTTATGGCCTACTCATACAGGCTTTTTGGCTAATGTTCCATGTGCACTTGCAAAGAATACATATTCTGCAATTGTTGGGTGTAGTGTTTTACAAATGTCATTAAAGACAAATGGGTTATTAGTATTATTCATATCTCTATGTCCTTTCTGATTTTTTTTTGTTCTATCAGTTGCTGAGAGAGATGAGCTTTAGAAATCTTTGCTATGATTGTAGATTTGTCTGGTTTTTTTTTTGTTTATTTACTTTTGGATCTATCACTTTTTGCTTTATATATTTTGAATCTGTTATTTGGTGCATTCATTTGGATTAGTTTTTGTTTTCTAGATTAATTGGTCCTTTTATTTTTATGAAATCTGTCTCTTTTTACCTTTTAATACTTTCTGCCTTGTATCTATTTTGTCTTATATTAATATTGCTATACCAGCTTTCTTATGGTTAGTGTTTCCATGACACACATGCAAATATATACTTATATTTCCAACCTGTCTAATTCCTCATATTTAAAGTGTTTCTCCTATAGTGGTGTCTTTCTTCTTCTGTCAGATAACTTCTGCCCTTTACTTGGAGTATTGAGTCCATTAAAATTTAATGTAATGACTGGTATGATTAAGTCTACCATCTTGCTGTATTTTTTTTACGTTGCATTTTTTCTTTGTACCTTTCTCCATTTTTGCCTTCTTGTGGATTAGTAACATTTTTTTTTTTTCTGTAATTCTTTCTGATCTCTTCCATTAGCTTTTAAGCTGTATCATTTAAATATTATTTTAGTGGTTACTCAAGAAATTGCACTATGAATCTTTAACCTAGATCAGCCTTTTTTGGGACCACTTCACATTGTAAGAATCCTCCAAATTGGTTCTGTTTACCAGTCCCCATTTTTTGTGCTACTGTAACAATTTTACTTCTATATATGTTATAAATCCCACAATAAATTATATTGTTTCTTTATACTATCAAAATAGTAAAAAGGTGAAAAAAGTCTAAATGTTCAAAACTAGAAGATTGGATAAATAAGTTTTAAAAATTCATAGAATGGAATACTGTCTGATATTGAAATGTGTTTAGAAGTGTATTTAATAATGAAGGAAAATATTCAGAATTTAATAAGTGGAAAACATGTCACAAGACAGAATTGTTTGATCCCAATAAACACCCTGTGTGCATGTGTTTAAAGGTACACTTTAGATAAAAAGCCTGGAAGGATATAAATGTGTTAACTGTTTCTATCTCTAACCAGCGATGGAGATTACAGATGGTTTGAATCTTCCACTGTGAACTCCTGTGCTTTCAAAAGAGTCACAGGAAATTCACGGGAGTTACATTTACGTGTTGGAAAATTTGTTAAAAATGTACGTATTGGGCCGAAACCAGTTTGGCTCAGTGGATAGAGCGTCGGCTTGCGGACTGAAAGGTCCCAGGTTCGATTCCGGTCAAGGGCATGTACCTCGGTTGCGGGCACATCCCCAGTAGGAGATGTGCAGGAGGCAGCTGATCGATGTTTCTCTCTCATCGATGTTTCTAACTCTCTATCTCTCTCCCTTCCTCTCTGTAAAAAATCAATAAAATATATTTAAAAAAAAATAAAAATGTACGTATTGGGACTGAGTCGCTGCAGTGAGCTGGACAGCGGTTGGAGGTTCTGCCACCTTTGGCGCTGTCTTCCAGGCCAGCCCCTGGTGCTGCAAAGTGGAGCTGGGCAGCATGCAGGTCCCTGAGGTGTAAGGCCCTCCTCTGGGTCCTGAGCAGCATGTGTCAGGGGCAGTGCTGTCCAGTGAGGTGACACACCTGGTGCCAGGTCACCAGCTCCTTCCCTAGGCCTTCAGCGAGGCCCATGAGGCCCGTCCAGCTCTGTGTTCAAGCCCCGTGAGGTCCCCACAGTGCGACAGGCAGAGATGGGACTTCTTTCTCATGGGCCTGGGCATCACTTTCAGGTGGTCAGGCTTCATAGACACTAAAAATGCCTCTTTCTTGTTTCTCTCTTTGACGTTCTATTGAGGTTGCAGATCATTTTGTACTAGAGATAAGAGGTGAAGGTGGAGTACAGGTGAGACCCCTCAATTCTGCTATGGGGATCACCCAATTGTTTGATAAAAACTTGGGTCAGTTGAATCTTCATAAAACCATCCTTATAACCCAGAGCTCCTGAGAGTTGGAGCCAAGCCTCAGAGCTAAAGCTGGCCCAGAATTAAAAAAAGAAAGAAAGAAAGAAAGAGAACCCGTAATAATTTCCTTGTTCTCTCCTTGGCTTTGAGCAGGGGAGAGAAGAACCCGTGGAACACTGTGAACAGCACCTCCCAGGGGGTGTGCACCCCGAGGAGTTTGTGGCCATCGCGGACTATTCTGCCACCGATGAGACACAGGTAGCCGTGTGCGTCAGGTCCCTGCTCTGTGGATTCCAGCATGCTTGGAATCAGTGAAATGACAGAGGCGGTTTTTCAGAAAGTCATGCTAAAGTGAAAGAAGTGTTCAGATGCTTAGAGCCGCGTGAGGCCTGTGAGTGGTGGATCCTTCCTTCCCAGCCTAACGAATTGTGATCCCAAGCCTGCTGTGAAGGACACCTGTGTGAGGAATTGGGGAGGAGGTACCTGCTCCAGTTTCTGCTTGGCAGCCGTGATTAAGAACCTATCCTTGTTACTGAAAAGTAAGGCTATAAAGTAAAAACACCTACTTGAATAACAGGAATTTCCTAGCCTAAGCCTCCAGTCACATCATCGGCTATCCCAAAGCTGAGTAACAGTAGAGAGGCTGTTGAGAATTTCTGTCCTAAGCCATTTGAAAATGTTTAATCTTTCCTTTAAAAAAATACCAATTAAGCTGTGCTTTTCTTTCATGTAGATAGATTAGCCACAAAAATCTCTAAGTCCTGGCGCCATTTTCATAAGTTGTCACTTGGTATAATTACCTGTCGACTTCTTTTTGAAATGCTGGGATTTGGGCCCCAGGGAGAGGGGATTCATTACAAAGTCACAGTTGAAATGACAGCTACAAGTTTTTCTTGAATTTTCCCTTCTGCATATGTGTTTCCAGCTCAGTTTTCTGAGAGGAGAGAAAATTCTCATCCTGAGACAGACGACTGCTGACTGGTGGTGGGGCGAGCGCGCCGGTTACTGTGGGTACATTCCCGCGAACCACCTCGGGAAGGACCTGGAGGAGGGTGACCCCGAGGACACCTGGCAGGATGAGGAATACTTCGGCAGCTACGGGACCCTGGTATTGCTTTCCGATCGCCTGCTCCACTGGCCGCGCTCTAACTTGTCAAAATAATTTCTGGGCTTCCACTCATCTCAGTGAGAGCAGGGCTTGTTAGGCCACACCCTTTGATTCCACGCTCCTCAGTCTACCATCGTAGTGTGAAAGCAGCCCCCGAACATAAAGGAGCGAGCATGGCTGTATTTCAAGAAAACTTTATGACACGGAAATTAGAATTTCATATAATTTTTTAAAAAAATATATTTTATTGATTTTTTACAGAGAGGAATGGAAAGAGAGAGGTAGAAACATCGATGAGAGAGAAACATCAATCAGCTGCCTCCTGCACATCTCTTACTGGGGATGTGCCCGCAACCCAGGTACATGCCCTTGACCGGAATCGACCCTGGGACCTTTCAGTCCGCAAGCCGACACTCTATCCACTGAGCCAAACCGGTTTTGGCAAGAATTTCATATAATTTTTGTGTGTCATATTCTTGTTTTGATTTTAAAAAATCATTTAAAAATGTAAAAGCCATCCATAGCTTGCAGGACATACGCAAGCAGGTGGTGGGCTGGATTGGTCCATGGACTGTAGTGTTAGTTGACTCCTGGTTTAGGGATATTATCTGAGCAATGAGATTATGAACTTTCTCAGTATTTTAAAAAAGTTATCAATTTTACTTTAAAAAGAAAATACAAAAAAGATATACTGGGTATAGCAACAATAATAATAATACCTCTAAATAACTAACGTGTTAGTCTGTTTTTTTTTCAATATGGATAAAGACCCATAATCCTATGGTCCAGACAACCCCATTTATATTTTAAAACTAGATCAAAACTGATACTTGCAGATCGATTGTTAAAAACCTAATGTGGAGTGAAAGAAGGAAGACATCAAAGAACAGTTAACGTTTGATTCAGTTATATAAAGTTAAAAGGCATTGTTTATGATGAGTGTATGCAATAGCGAAACTCTGAAGGAGATCAGGGACCTGGTTGCTCTGAGGACCTGAAAGGTGCTGTGGGTCATCGGGGTCTCTGATCAGCAAGGCTGGGATGGGAACATTTGGGTGCTAGCAGTGTTCTGGTGTTGGTTGCTCTGTAACTGAATTTGATAAACTTTTTGTAGGTATGTCATATTTCACAATAAACAATGCTAAATTCAATGAAGAACTGTTGACATGTGTACAGTGATGTGGCACATAATGATGTTTCCGTCAGCGACGGGCCCCATATGTGATGGTGGTGTACCATGTGGCCTAGGTGTGCAGGGGGCTGTACCATCTAGGTTTGGGTTGGTGCGCTCTGTGATGTGCGTACAACAAAATTGCCCAACGATGCATTTCTCAGAAGGGATCCCACGCACGACTGCATGGTTAGAGCTTTCAGTCTCTTAGGAAAGACATAATGAAATCCAGAGTCTGAGTCCTCACCCGCACCCTGGAGAGGCCGCTGCACCTTGCGATTCCTCTCAGCTGCAGTGCCCATGCTTCCTCCAGGTCTAAGCTACATCAGTTTTAGTTTTTTAAACTTACAGAAAAGGAATATTCCACACACACCTTTCACTTTGCTCTTTCCACGTAGCTATGTTATTTTGAAGGTCTGTTCTTTATATCAGCTACAGAGCATTGTGTTGCTTATAAAAAGACCATGTTGGTAGACTGTGCTTAGTTAATGGCTTTTTATCATGACAAGCAGAGCTGTGATGGATGTCCTCCTACACGAATACCGCTAAACTTCGCTAGAATTTCCATTGGGTAAATTCATAGGGTGTGTGTATGTTTTTTACTTTGGTGGATTTTGCCAATTCGCCTTCCCACAAGATTTACTGATTGTACACCCACCAGTGGTGTGTGGATACTTATTTCACTACCACACAGCATCAAAGGGAAGCAATTTTTTAAAATTTAAAATTTAAATTCTTTATTGTTTAAAGTATTACATAAGTCTCCTTTTCCCCCCTTTGACCTCTCCCTGACTGCTCCTACCCCCCAGCACATGCCCTCACCGCCCCCTACTATCTGTGTCCATTGGTTTTGCTCATATGCATGTATACAAGTCCTTTGGTTGATCTCTTACCCCCTCATTCCCTGCCTTCCCTCATAGGTTGGACAGTCTGTTCAGTGCTACTATGACATTGATTCTATTTTTGTTCATCAGTTTATGTTGTTCATTATATTCCACAAATGAGTGAGATCATGTGGTATTTATCTTTCTCTGACGGGCTTATTTCGCTTAGCATAATGCTCTCTAGTTCCATCCATGCTGTTGCAAATGGTAAGAATTCCTTCTTTTCTATACCAGCGTAGTATTCTGTTGGGTAGATGTACCACAGTTTTCTAATCCACTCATCTGCTGATGGACACTTAGGCTGTTTCCAAATCTTAGCTATTGTAAATTGTACTGCTATGAACATAGGGTGCATACTAGTATATCCTTTGTGGTGTTTCTGTTTTCTTGGGATATATTCCTAGAAGTGGTATTACTGGGTTAGATAGAAGTTCCATTTTTAATTTTTTGAGAAAATGCCATACTGTTTTCCACAGTGGCTGCACCAGTCTGCATTCCCACCAGCAGTGCAAGAGGGTTCCTTTTTCTCCACATCCTCACCAGCACTTGTCGTTTGTTGATTTGTTGACGATAGCCATTCTGACAGGTGTGAGATGGTACCTCATTGTTGTTTTGATTTGCATCTCTCGGATGATGAGTGACTTTGAGCATGTTTTCATGTCTCTTGGCCTTCTGTATGTACTCTTTTGAAAAGTGTCTATTTAGGTCCTTTGCCCATTTTTTGATTGGATTGTTTATCTTCCTTTTGTTAGGTTGTATGAGTTCCCTGTAAATGTTGGAGATTAAACCCTTATCAGATATAACATTGGCAAATATGTTCTCCCATGCAGTGGACTTTCTTGTTGTTTTGTTGATGGTTTCTTTTGCTGTGCAGAACCTTTTTATTTTGATATAGTCCCATTTGTTTATTTTCTCCTTAGTTACCATTGCCCTAGAAACTGTATCGGTAAAGATGTTGCTACGACAAATAAGGGGGAGCAATTTTTTTAAAAAAAACTTTATTGTTGAAAGTATTACATATGTTCCCTCTGCCCCCTTGACCCCTCCAGGGAAACAATTTTTTATTTTAGAGGTTAAATATGGTATCATGCTTTTGATTTTCATTTTTAAAAGTGAGAATGATCAGCTTTTATATTTTATTAGAGGCCCAGTGCATGAAATTCGAGCATGGGTAGGGTCCCTAGGCCTGGCTGGAGATCAGGGCTGATCTGTTGGGCCACTGGTGGGGCGATTGGGGGGGCTCCTGCTGGCACCCGCCTTGGCCAGCCCCCCCCATTGGCCAGTCTGGTGCATCCCATTCGCTGGCCCCGCCCCCCACTACTGCCACTAGTTGCCTCCCTCTGCAGGGCAACCAGTGGGGCAATCAGGGCGGGGAGGTCTGGGGCCTGCGGGCTGGGGGCAGCTCCTGTGTTGAGCATCTGCCCTTTGGTGGTCAGTGTGTGTCATAGCAACTGGTCGTTCTGCCGTTCAGTTGATTTGCATATTAGGCTTTTATTATATAGGATTGGCCTTTTGTATTCCTTTTTGGGAAAACTTTCATACAATTTTCCCATTTCTCTTTTAATTTCTGTTGATTTAAATGTTAAATAAGCAGTTTAGCCTGTATTTATGTATTATACTTATCTCTTGCCAGTCTTTTCCCCCATGAAACTTTTTATCTTTATGTAGTCTAATTTGTCTTTCTTTTCTTTGTGAGTTTTAAA